ATATATATATATATATATATAATAGAACATCAATCACAAATTTTTTATTAGTCCAAGACATATAAAAATTACTTAACGTTACAGATTATAAAATCATCTGTCTGCAACCAGGTTTTAGTATATCGTTCATAACGCGTGATTTAGTTTGTCGTATCCTTTGCAAAAGTAGCTGTAAATGTAAATATTATATTTTATTAATTTATTCCACGATTAATTGCTTTTAAATATATTTATTTACTACATACTATATTTTCATTTTCTATTTTCTTTTGTAATCTTTTTCTATTTATTGCAGAACTGCTTATTCGCGTCGGTCGAATATTCTCACGAAGTATCTTTTCTTTTGATTTTTGTTGTGCCATTATTTTTCTCAAGAGAATCTGATTTTCCCATTCGATCTTACGTATCTCTTCATCCGTAAAACTCATATTCTTTCTTCTGTTCTTCGTTTGTCTTATTTTTACGGAATAATCTTCGGATATTGAACTTCTATAGCAAGCCGAGTCTGTAATTTCATTTCTTTGTACTATATCTTCAAATCTTTCTTCTCCACGTTTACCATCCTTTTGGTTACACGCACAGGTAGCGATTCCAGGAGAAAGACGAGACTCGTTAACGAGTGATCTCGATGTTGTATCGGTTCTTTCAGATTCATCGTCAGATTCATCGGAACAAAACGAATCATTGCTATAAATAGAATCCTCGTCTACGGTGCTTTTTATCGAATCCGCAGGTTGTTCAACATCTTGGAGGATGCGAGTTTTTGACTCTTGATCACAGGTTTCCTCCTCATCGGTTTCTTCTTCATCCACTTCATGAATGCCGGGCACACGATTGAAACTGTCTTTCATTTCAGAAAATTGTTCGTGAACTATTTCACTCGTTAACGTTAACGTATACCGACATCTACAATCAGACTGGGTTTCTTCCAGGCATGACATAGAAATTAGTAATCAATAAAAAATTTTTATAATAAAAGATTGGACTGATAATAGTATAAAATTGATTCGACGGTATTTTCAGAAAGAGGTTAAGAAACAATCGTGACGTATAAGTTTTAGTCACCATAGCAACGAAATAGCAAAACAAAATATTTAGAATCTTCTCTTTAGTCGAACATTATCAAAGATTATATATACATATTTTTATACACGTTATCATAGCAAATTGTATTTAATTGCAGTAATATAATAATTACGTCTAAACGCGATATATGTAAAAAAGATTATTTGAACTTTCTAATTTACAATATACGATATACAACTTTCAAC